AAACTGAACCTGTATGCAAAGATGAACTTTTGAAAAAAATTGAAGTATAGTCAATTTACTCTGTTGTTACAAGATCTTGTGGTAGCTCACAGCGAAAAAAAATGTGACAATGAGTGTATGTTCATGTATAACTGAAAAATTGTGCTCTACAATGGAATTTGACACATTGTAAAATGACTGTAACTCAATAAAAAAAGTTTTAAAAATACAATGTTAATTTCTGATGTACAGCATAGTGATTCATTTGTGTGTATAAATATGTAATATATATACATATATATTCCTTTCCATTTTCTTTTTCATTATAGGCTATTATAAGGTACTGAATATAGTTCCCTGTGCTATACAGCAGGACCTTGTTGTTTAGAGGTGAACTCAGCACCCAGAAGGGAACATCCAGCTGAGGGAGTATGTACCTGTGGTACCTGAACCCATCTTTGCTTCACTGTGCTCATCATGTCACAAACACTTGCTCTTTACCCAAGGGAATAAGCCATAGCTTATGGTAACCAGAGACATGGACTTTAGTTTCTAGCCCAAAGGAAGAAAAAAGCTAACTGTCAAGGCGACAAATGATTAGGTTGCGCCAACGTTTTCACTGTTATGAATAATTTTATAACAAAGCTTCTTTTATACAGATTCATATGCAAATGTATAAAGTATTTCTGGGGTCAAAGGAATATACACTTAAAATTGTCACAGATGCAATACTGTAATAGAGTAATAGAGCCACATTGCTCTCCAAAAAGACTGGAATAATTTATACCTCCAGCGATGCGTATGGAAGCGACTACTTCTTCCTGCCCTCTTCAACCTTTTTAATTTGTGCCAGTCTGCTGGGTGTCAGGTTAATTTGCATTTCCCTGATTTTTCTAGTTCACATGTTTCTTAGCGCATTTATATTTCTTCTTTGGGGAATTGCCTGATCATATTCCTTGCTCACTTTTCTATCAGGTTGTCTTCTCACAGATTCATAGAAATTATTTATTAGTATATTTCTTTCTTTCAGCTTGCTACTTGTCTTTTCATTTTGTTTGTGGTAACTTTTAACATATGGAGTTTTTCTCAAATTGAATCTCTCAATTTTTTTCTTTTAAGGCTCCTTTGCAACAACAAAATCCTCATCTGCTTTATATCTCATTTATGTCTGCGTCTTTATAAACTTATTATTTATTTCTAGTAATTTTATAGTTTTGATTTTTATTT